CTTGTTGTTGCTTTGACCTTCAGCACAGTACATTATACCACACAAGGAATGTGTATACGTAGCATGTCAACGTCTGAAGTGAGTCTGTGTATACCAAACTGACAGTTACAAGTGTGCAACACCACATTATATTATATATATATACTGTATTACTGCCATTCCAGAAACACTATTGTGTCAGACCACGTAACAAAGAGAAAATTAGAATATTGCATTCTACAAAAAAAATTACGTCACTCGTCTCTTATGTGGTCATGGGACTGCTCTCTGAATTACCATTACTCATTGTCTCGCCACCTCCTAATTCAATGAGAAGGCCGACAGATATATTTTTATTGATAATACTTGAACCGTTACCATTTAAAGAAAAGATTAAAAAGTATAAAAACATAGACGAATGAGCTTAAAGCTTAAATACTTTGTCGAACACACAGAGGAATCACGTTACTAAACTCCCTAAGTAAATTTTTACGTACATTTTGAATAAAGGGCTGGTATAATGGGCAGACTCTATTGGGTATGTCACAAAGTTCCAAGCAGGTTTTAGAAAGGGTTATTGTACCGTTGACAATATTTTCACTCTTCACGTTATGGTATAGAAATATTGAAGTAAATCAAAAAGACGATTCTACTGTGTGTTTGTTGACTTCAGCAAATCGTTTGATTCAGTTAATAACAATATACTTATGTATATATTTTGCATTGAGGGCGTTGGTGGGAAAATGTTGAATATTTGTAAAATATATGTATAAAGAAGTCAAATCATGTATGAAGTACCATTATGGTATTACAAATTATTTCCCATGTAATGGGGGCGTAAGACAAGAGTGTGTGCTTAGCCCCATTTTGTTTGTAAATGACCTAAATAGCATGCTGGAAAATTAAATGAGTTGATTAATTTATTTTCACTTATATATGCTGGTGATGTTGCGATATTTAGTGACTCCCCTATTGGGCTGCAGAGACTTTTCGCAATATTAGACTCTTCGTTTAACTTGGTAAATGGCAGTAAATATGACTAAAACACAAATTATAGTTTTTAGACGTGAGGATACTTAAAAGGGAGTGAAAAAAGGTTTGTAAATGACAATCCTGTGAATGCTGTTGGGTACTATAAATATTCGATTTTACTTATTTCAAGTAGAAACACTTGGGTCAAAGCAGTAACAACGCTTAAACAACAAGCGCGAAAGGTCACGTACACCATGATAAGAAAAACTGGGAGCTTGCCCTACCAAGATTAATACCAAGACAGATTTGAATTATTTGATAGTATGGTTTGGCCGGTTTTAAGCTACAGGGCTAAATATCTATTTAAAAAAAATGTTTTTGTAAGTGCAAGTGCTAGTGCTGCCACAGAAGTCATATTCACGTTTGGGACTACATGACAGGGATGTGTGGTCATCTCTCTGTCATATGGCAATTTTAATGGGCTATCCTGACCTTAATCTAGGTCCCCCCAAAGTCGCATTCGTTAGTGAATAAATGTTGACCAGGGGAATTGGCCATCCCCTTGAGTCCATGGCATACTCATCCAGGGTAGGGGTTGACCCTTTTGATGTTCAGCCTAAGGTAGGATTTGAACTTGGGTCTACCGATCATGAGTCTGATGCGACAACCACTATACTACCAGTGACCGGTAAATAATTAAATATCTATTATCTGTGCATGGGTTCGGGGAGGTATGGCTATGGCAGGGACCAGGAGACTTTGATGCATTTTTACACCTATTTATGACCAGAGCGTCTGATATATTTAAGCAAGAGTGGTGGGGGTGTTGTCTCAAAAGAAAAGCTGCAGACATATCGAAATATCAAAACTTCATTTCATCCAGAAGTATATTTGTATTGTTTAGGAATTGATAAATTAAAACGGGCTCTTGCTTGTATCAGGTGCTCTAGTCATAAGCTAGAAATAGTACAGGGTGGAGAATATGCAAAATATGTGAATCCCTTGAAATATAAATATCTCTACTGATAAATTCCACAAGTGTCATCCTAGGTGACTAGCTGGTAAGATTTCGCATGTCATTCTAGGTGACTAGTATTCAGTATTTCTTGTATATATCTCTACTGATGATCATCAATATAGCTATCGAATTATTTTTTCGGTTGTGCCAGCTAAACCCTCAGTGTATTATCAAGGCTTAATTATCGTATTATTAAACCAATTGCGAGGTACCAGGGTTTGGGGAATTCGCCACCTTTTCACTGAACAAAACGCACAGAGAATGGAATCGTGTCACTTCTCATCTCCGCCTGGTGGGAACTGTCTCCCAAGGTTGGCTCGCCTCGTCTTTCAGCACCCACGACAGACCTCTTTATTCACTTCTCTAACTCTTAGCCAATTACAGAGGAGTTTAAGAGCTTAAGGCGTAGCCTCCATACATTCAATTCACATATAGCCAATCACACGAAGTAATTAACACGTCATATCTATTGATTAATTACTCGCTATATTAAAAGTCTACACATACTAAACTGTCAGATTTAGTAGTCAGATTGGCGACGTTTATATCGCAATTAGTTCCATTCGCTGACTCAAGTTCCGTCTAAGATCTACATGAGCCTAAATAGTGATAAGTTATGGGAATGTAAACTAAAACAGTCAACAAGTCGTATCAGTGACCGATTCTTTAGACACATAGAAATAAATCATGAAAGTATTTTTATTGGGGCAAACTAGTAAAAGTATATAAAAAAATACGCTTCTATTTATACAATCCAAGCACTAAATGTTAGCACTATGTTAGGAAATGATGACGTGTGACTTTTCAGTTTCAATAGAGGTGTTCACATTCTCTACATGTTCTGAGATATGAGGAACAGGACCATTCCCCAATCTGCATTGCGGATATTCACTTCCGTTATCAAATCACAGAACCAACCTGCTGACATCGGCAAAGATATCACTAAGGAGTGAAAGCAACTGAGTATATCTACCATCAGATGGAGCAGTTACATCTACATCTGACTGGACCATTGAAACCTTGACAAAAATCTGTACTTGATGAGACAGACGTTTTGTCCTTTAGAATGGCGTCTACTAATTAGGACTTGGACTGTAAATGATTCACAAGATGGGACGGGTCATATCATTCTTGTCTCAGGACCTGTAGAGAATGTCAACGCCTGTATTGAACTGAAATGTACAAGTTAAGCATATCTAAATAATACAAAACGTTTATATATCAATACTGAACTGCTGAGTTGTTTGTAATGGATTGATGAAATCAATTCATTTTGCATGGAAACAATTAAAATTAATTCCAAGGGTTATCGACTCACTGCCTTGTTCCCAAAAATACTTGCGTCAGTTATAGGGTAACCATGGATACAAATTATGTACTATTATCATAGTAGGTCTGAACACAGGCATAATAGCTATTTTGATAACATAGAAAATAGATAGATTTCATAGAAAAAAAATAAAAACACATTGGGTTAATAAAATCCCATTAAAAGTAATGTTAGACAATATATATATTGTTTTCACCAGATGTCATCGATCAAAATGT